TTAATGTCATCTTTTTCCCGACATATACACATTTCTGCCGTTATAAATAAGTGGACAGAAAGCAATTTTGCTTCTTTCAACACACATTCATTTTCCCACACATACTGCTACCTTTCTACCAGCAATTACATCTCTTACGGTAGCCTACAATATCTGCATCCTTTCTTTCATTTTTAACAAACATATCGAGGCATTACAAATGCATCTATTTGCTCTAGGAATTTTGTTTTCTTCAACCATCAAAGCCGCCTTGGCGTTTGAGACATTAAGAGCCATGTTCCTTGTTTTATAATAGTCTAAAATTTGCTGTAAATCATTTAAGCTCTTAGTCAGAATTACCAACATCACCTGCATGCAAAAAAATTTCTACATTAATGCCTCTATTATCACAAGCACTCATTACATAGTTATCTATAAATATATTACATATCCATGGGAGAACAGACATCCTTGCCTTAACACTGCCCAGTGTTTATTTGCTTCATTTCTAATCTAATCACATTCCCCAAACAACCTTTATCCTCCGATAGAACATTCCTTAATCCAACACCATCCATCTATCATATATTTTCCTTAATTCAGCAAGCATACAATATGCTTTCTTATATTAATTTCTCACATTTTTGAATTCTTTGCTGAAGAGCAAAAATCTGGTTTACACATCAAGCATAAAGCCACATAGCTCTTTCCAAATATTGCTCAATGTTACTTCTTGTACCATTTCAATCAGAATTTTGCCAAAAACATTGCCAGACATACTTAATAGTTTTTGCAGTCACTTCTACTATTTTCTATGTATCTATGGGAATAATAATGGCATTATTTCAAGTCAGGCACTGTAGATATCATACACATTAAAAAAAGCTTGCTCATTAACAAATCACATCTACTTTTTATTATTTCCCTGGATACACTGCCTATACTTGCACCCCATAATTTTTCAACTTTCTCCAGAATTTTATTTCCACCAAAATTACTCTGTAGGTTTTGCTGCCTTTATTAATATTAACCATTCCTTGCTCTTTTAAAATTATATTCTATATAGCTATCTTTTTCTGTCTATACACATTTTACTATATCTTTCATCCCAATATTTTGAGTAATGACCTTTTATATGTATTTTTCCCATTTAAAGCTCTTTTCCTTATTTTTTCCACCAAGCATTCTTTTTCATGTTTCCCATCAACATACTATCTCACACTTTTGTGGCACTCTAATATTTCTTTTTCACTCTGCGCCAAACAGATTTCTCAGTGTTTTTCCATTTGTTCTGATGGGAGTTTCATCTTTTAGCTAATACCTTTTCATATATTTCATCTTCTTCAATCATTCTACTTTCACTCTAGTTTTTTTCACTTATTTTCTTGTCCCTTTCCACTCAAATTCATCTTCATACTACCAAAAAATAGCCTGTCCCACAACCAGACTGTTTGATTTTATCTTTGTTTCTCTCAATTTTTCATCACAAACCAATCATTCATTTGGATTTATATCAATTTCTTTGCCACATGTATAGACTTAAGCTTAAAGTATCTTTTAAACAAGCAGACTTTTTTCTATGGAAATTTTATTTATTTATTAATATTTCATATTTCTAGACCGTCCATCTCCCTGAAAGAAATGCTTATCAATTACTAATTCATCCTGGGGTCTTCAAATGGTTCATTACAATGTTCAGTATTTTTTTATCTATTTCAAGTCATCCTTTTGTCACCTTACAGAAATATTTTTCCAGGGATTACATGCAATTAGAATTTTGCCCATATTTTTTCTCCAAAAATCATATCTAGTTCATCCACTATAGAATTCATTGGAGCCTAATATACAGCTATTATCAATCTATGGATTCATAGCTACGTAGGGACCCATGATAATCTATATGATGCATATTTATAATTTGGACATACATTGTTGCCTTTTCATTTTTATCTATGCCAGGGGTGAAATGCAGCCGGCTTCCCTACTGGTTGGGAAGTGCGCATGCGCCATCATCACGTCACAGTTTTGACCCTCTGTGCATGTGCAGAAGGCTTTGCGTATGCACAGAGGATTAAAACCATGATGTGGCAACATGGGCGGAGCCTCCCGCCGCCAGTACTACCGGCCCACGTGAACTGGATAGAGCAGGCTACATTTCACCCCTGGTTTATGCCTTCACTTCGCTGAATGATTTCATCACCTTCACAAGATCAGGCCACACTCATTCATATACACTATTATCTTCTCATTTAATTTCTCAAATACATAGTTATAATTTTTTTGTTTCTTGTTTTTTTTAATGTTTCCTTTTTTTTTTTCTTCTCTCTCATTCCAAATTGCAATCTTCTACATGCCATGATTATCACCTGATGGGCCATAGATATTGACCTCTGCTTCCTATTTTGGATCAAAGTCAAAGTGTTAACCAGCTCACCAGCCTTAATTGTACTTTCCAGGTCACATTCCTTGCTGATGGTAAGAGAGGCACCATTCAATTCTAGCTCATTATGATAAATGCCAACAGCAAAAACATGCTCATTCTATTCTATAAATGAATCTCTAATCTGGAGTACACTTTGTAAACCAATAACTGTTTCCACATCCTACCAACTCAGAGGTATATGCAGTGTACTGGCACATTCTAAGGACAGGAAACATTAAATTTTAATGTTAAACTTGTACTAAAATATTAACAGTGTGACTTATGCCATTCTTCAGAAGTATTTGTCATTGTTCCATGGAACGCAAGGCTAGGTAACTGTACTTGGAATATTTCTGTGTTTGGCAATACACCCTTCATATTTTTAGTTATTGTTTATATCAGTTTTCAAAACATAAAGCTGTTTGCATTTTGAATGCACACTTGCGAAGGGAGAAAAATCTCACATTAATGCATTAGAGATGCTACGCACTGAAATGTTTTGTAACAGCTCACTCCAACCTGACTGATCTCCAGATGTGTGGATTTCAATTCCCCATATCCCAGGCAGGATTGCTGTCTCCGAGATTTTAGAAATGTAAACACAATGCCCATATTTAAAAGGGTCCCATGTTGGGAAAAGTTGTTTTAAAACAGATTTTTAATTGTACTTAACTAGCTAGGTTAAGGTTGCCTGTGGAAGATTGTGGAATAGTTACAAATCTTTTCTTTTCATCTTTAACTTTGTCATAATTTATCTACATCTTGATGCTTCATAAAACAGGAAAGCTGTATCAGTGAAATGGAGAATGGACACAAGACAAAGCCCATTAGGTTCTTATCTTTTTGAGGCAGGTTCATAACAATTAAAACCTTCATTCTGACTATATATAAAAAACGCTCAATGGAGAAATGAACAAGTTTGGACATACCATTAAACTATAATTTAGATCATGCTTAAAATGTCAACACTTATTCCTTCATTTGGCTTCCCTTCTCTACATCTCATATGACTGCTTGAAGGCTGTCACCAGGTTTCTGCACACACATGCAGCCAATTTGCTTTGCTGGCTGTCCCAGGGTGCACGAATGGCAAATGCTTGGTCTTTGAGACTATGCTGGATCAGATACCACTTGAGGTTTTCTCCATTATTCTATGTTCAGACACATTTCGCTGATATAGCAGCATCCAAACTTTAGTCTGCTTTCTTATAAGTTTGTGTATGGTCCTGTACACTGCAGGGGATTAATATGTTCTTAAATCTTTTTTTTTTCCAGAGAATAAACTAGTAACAACCCTGTCTTTCTATCGTTTCCTGCTATAGGCATACTAGTCGATGCTTGCTAAGAGTGAGCAATTCTTTCAATGTCATTTGCATTTTCACCCTATTGCTTTTCTCACCAACCACAATTTATGTTAGGCTGTGCTGTATAAGAAACCAAAAAGCTATATTCTTTGACTACTCAGGCTTCCCAAACTAGGCACTTTTTACAAGCAATATTTTGCACAGGGAAATGCATTCTTGTGCCTACCTTTCTCACATATATGCACCTTGAAGCAGAGATGTATTTGATTAGTTATTTGATGATGACCACCAGACATGGAATAATCCTGGAAGAAGATTCTTGCAAATGACTTTCATACTGTTGCCAATAAAACTATAGAAACATATCCATGTAAATCTTTCAATTCACAGGAATTACCTTTGTGTGTATTTTCACCAAAGCCTCTATTTTTGTACATAAAAGGTATGAAAATTACGAGTTATGAATTTCATCAGAAAATTTTGAGCAATGCAAGTCTTGGGATTCAGGCTTTTTCTATAGACTTGTGAAGTCCAAAATGGACATTTAAATAAACTTCTTAATTCAAATTTCTTATTCACTCAGCTTTACAATACATCCACTAGAATCGCACAGTATTACAGTCAACTAATGTTGGAGCAGGTTTTATTATTTGCTGCTGGCTTGGTTGTTTTTTTTAGAGCTAATTATGCTAGGGACTGATATATGCTCCTTCTCTCGATTTTGTTCTCATGTGGTTCCTCTTCAGCTTCCCACCTTTTTTCTTGCAAATTCTTATATAAAGCCATGTTCTGAATAGGAACATAAATCCTCTAAAGTGATTTTGGGGGTCTCTTTGGAACCAAATACATATGTCAGCCATGCAGTGCATATATTTACTAGCAATGTGATTGCTGAGCTCCAGGTGGTTGTTCCAAGCTTTGTGGAATTCAAAAGAAGCAAGATGTGTCTGCTCTAGTATTAATCTTTCAGTAGAAGAAAAGGAAACAGAAATATGTTAAGCACGCACTATTGTTTCACTGGAAGTTCTGAACAAAATCCCAAGCCAAAAATTCTTCTCCTGCTTTTGACTTGAAGTAGCAGCTTTGATCTCTTGAGTGTAATTGTTATAGATCAGCATTGATGCATAAATCCTGGAAAATCTTTGGAACCCAGACAGTTTACTACAAAAGTTGAAAGAAGTCACATTGGTCTTGCCAAAGAGGAAATATGGGATAGTTAATTAATAGTACAAAATGCACAGTGACTAGTCATGTAAGGATGTTGGTAAGACTCTTAAGATTCTTGGGGAAAGGAAGAGAGACATAATTCTGATTTATTCAAATTCTGCTCTCTAAATAACATTGCAACCAAATACAAATAGCCCCAAATAAGGGTAGTGCATTAAACCTCATCTCCTCCATCCATGTAAACACAACATTAATACTGAAGAAATAATAAAAAAAATAAAATATCCAGTGTTGGGTTGCACGTATATGTGTTAATGTTTCTTGTTCAAGATTCTCACCCATACTTAGTTCTACATACAATAATAGGAGTGAATTGGATTGAATTCACTTCCAAACAAAGACCATCAAGATTTTCCCGTTCTTTTCTCCCCCACCAATACACCATTTCATTTTGATTTTGTTTTAGTTTAACAACACTTGATTGAATTAGTTCCCCAAAGTCTGTAATTCTGTGGTTCCACCCTCCTATTTATGATGTCCACTCACACCAAATGGATGTGAAGTGGAAGAGCTATTGGACTGATTTTCCCCAATCACCTGAGTTTATTGATTAATTAAATATTAATCCTTCTTTCCCAGTACTTTAGATTCCAATTTGATTTGTGTTGCAAAGAAATACTTCAAAAAACCCTATAAAATGGAAGCAAAAATTGAATGTGATGGGTATCTTTCCAGGTCAGTAAAAGCACAGATCTTATTGGGGGGAATGGCTAGATTTGGGGATACATCTGAAGTGTGAAAGGATGCAATTTAGGTTTGAAAAAAAAGGATATGAACAGAGCAGGTGACAGTAGTGGGGAGTTGGAGAAGAGTCCATCTTGCAGCATAAGAGCAATGACTGAGTGATGCCACAGAAGTGCATACACAATGCTGTGAATATTCAGAATATAATATATCACAAGTCCCATTGGTTGGATATGATTTCCATTCATCTGACGGGGAAGTCTGGTTCAGCTTACTGTATAGTGTTCTCTGTGGTTAGACAAAAGTTGTGTGACATAGGCAAATTCCCTTAATAAGGAAAAGTAGGGGCTGTTTTTGTTCATTTAATTCACAGGATAGTAATCGGAAGATCTTCCTTTACATTTCTTTTTTTTTTAAAAAAATGTGATATTATTAAATAGTAACATGAAAGCCTATATTCCAAAGAAGATCTGTGTGCAATTTTAAGAATCAAGATCTGTTTTACAGTTACTGCCACCCTGTGTGCTGCCAACAGATGTGGGTAGTGCTGTCCCCAACCCCATACATTTTGTGTCCACCTCTTGGTCAATCAAACCAAAGTTTTGTAGGTGGTGGATGAGTGGTGCTTTTGAGCAACGTCCAGAGACATCTTGTTCCAAAGCTCTACCGTTAGAACTGTTTGATGTGGTTTAAAAACAAAGCAAAACCAAAAACAACCAATGGTGTCCCACAATTTAAGAACGGGGTCCACACACACGAAACGGCTCCTCTTTTCAGTTTGCTTTCCATTAAGAGTTTGGTGGTGCTAGCTGTTGTTCTCAGCCGTGAGATATTTCAATGCAGCAAAGCCGTAGCGGCGTGACATATCCTGCTGGAACTCTTCTTTGAGGGTCTTCAGACAAATGCGGTACTGCTTGTTGGAACGGAATTTGGTGATGTCGAAGCTGGGCGCATGTGGCATGTGGATCATGTAGGCATTGGGAAGCACTGTGAATTCATATTCCTGAGGAAGACAGTCACAGTCAGAATGAGCAAGAAGACCAATGTCTCACAATTCTGTTATGCCAATAGAAAAGAACATTTGTAGCTCAGGGTTGAACTGTGGGGTCCTTGATGCTTTCTGAGCTTGATTGTTTTCTTGTAGACAATTCATTACCCAACCTCATCAGCACTATCTAGCTGGGCAATGAAAGATCTGCAAGAGAACCATCAAGCTCAGAGAGCAGCAAGGACCTCACATTTCTTTTTGTCCTGTCTCCTCTCCCCCAAAGCCTTAAGTGTTGCAAAAACTGGAAAACAGCAAGTGTAAGTGAAACATTGGCTCTTATAAAATGATGGTCTGCAAATAAAAATCCTTTCTTAATCCCAGTGTAAATATATCTCCCTTCCCTTCCTGCCCCTTTTCTTTTATTAACTTGAATAAAACTGAATATGGCATCTGGTTGCTAAGCATGTATACAGTTAGGTTTTGTAACACCCCCATATGAGAAAAACTTGGTTGGTATTTACTCATGTTTGCTAATGTTTCTAAATCATGGCTAAGACCTGAAAAAGAAGAAAGCTGAGAATTTGTGTTTGAGGGGGAGGAGAGGAGACTTAAAACTATGTTTAAACCACCTTGGGAGCAGTTTGCAAGGCAAATAGAAGTCTAACAAGTGAGCATTCTTATGGTGAAATTTCACAGGACATATAAATAGAACTGAGTTCTGCTAAAGTTATTTGTTTAGAATAGAACCAGCAACTTATCAACTAGATGAAATGCATAAAATGTTGAATCTTGGGATTTCTCATCTGAAAGTCTGCTTGCATCTGTTACAGAGCAGCAATCCAGAACTGCCTAAGCAATTCTCAAGAAGCTTTTCTTTACAGAGAGATGAAAACTCCCTATTAATCACTCTGCATTTATTGCAGGATTCTGGTAAAAATAAAAGCCTTTGATTAGCAACCCTTCAGTTTCTGAATGACATGTTGATGATACGGATACATCTAAAGTCAATGTTAGATTCAACTCCTAGCTGGGCTAAGAGAATTTTGCAGCTTTGCTTTGCCTTCTGCCTCAAAGCAGTGATCTTTTACTGACATCAAAGCCATTCTCTGCTGCCCTTTCATCCTTCCTCAGTTATGTTGCTATTCCAATTTTGCCAAGAGCAGTTGTTTCTCTTCACTGCTTACATATTTTTTACGGTAAAAATAGAGCCCACTGAGGTATCGTTACTATGATAAATTTGAGGAGTAAAAGGAGAAGAAATACCAAGCCATGGATGTGCCCATCCATGAATTAATTGAACTTGAGCATCACTATGAATTGAACTTGATTAAAATATGTATTTATCCTTTAACTCAGGGGTATCCCAACCTTGGCAACTTTAAAACCTGTGGACTTCAATTCCCAGAATTCCCCAGCCAGCCATGTTGGAAATTGAAGTCCACAAGCCTTTAAGTTGCCAAGGCCGAGCACCCCTATTTTAAGCGCAGGCACACAATTCTACAGATCACAAGCAGAGGCATTTTGTCAATCTTCATAATTTGATGTGCTTTTCACAGGTGATGCCAGGAATTTTAACTGGGACCCCTGTCATACAAAGCAGGAGCTATTCCCCCCCCCCATTCCACCCCATCAAGTCACCCCAGAGTTTTATCCTTTATTCCAATAAACATATTGATTCTAACTGAACTATGAACAGGTTACCCCAAAGCTTAGTGCAGAGACTCCCGAAGAGCTAATCCCACTGAACCAGTGGTGGGATCCTTCTGGTTTAACAACTGGTTTGGTGACTGTGTGCTGCGCACACGTGTACAGTTCAACAAAAAATGACCTTCCGTGTTAGTGCTTGGGAATTAAAACAGCTGAGGCACAGCAATCTGCTCTGCCGTGCTAATCAGCTTGAAGATAAAGCACAGGGGTGGGTGGGGGGGCCCAGCTGATCGTGGGAGCTCCCGGTTCACCTGAACTGGTTTGAACCGTAGAATCCAACCCCTGCACTGGACCCACTGTTCTCCCTTTCTATACAGATAGTCCTCGACTTACAACCATTTGTTTACTGACTATTTGAAGTTACAACACTGAACAAAAGTAACTTATGACCAGTTGTACTTGCAACCATCACAACTTCCCCACAATCAAAAATTTGAAAGCTTGGCATATATTTATGATGACTGCAGTGTTCTCAGTCATTTGATTGCCATTTGGGACTGTCCCAGCTGACTTATCACAAGCAAAGTCAGTGGGGGGAAGCTGGATTTCCTTAATGATGGCGTGATTCAATTAACATCTGCAGTGATCTGCTTAACAACCATGGCAAAATAGGTCATAAAATTGGGCGTGGCTCGCTTAATAACAGCCTTATTTAGCAACAGAAATTCTGGTCCCAATTGTGATCATAAATCAAGGACTACATTTACTTAAATGGATTTTTTTAAAAATACTTCGAAGGACAAAGGTAACACTTCTTAAGAACATGCAATGCCTTGGACTATTTCATTTGTACCTGTAAACTGTTCTATTTCTCTCTGAAAAGACTCTTGAGATTGCATGTCTCTCTCTCTCTCTGTCAATCCATTCATCCAAAAATTAAAATTTTTGTTTCATTATAACAAGGTTTCCTCAATATAATTTTTGGAGTAACATGATTTGTTCCCAACTATGTAAAAAAAGTTTTGAACGTTTAATTTTGTGTTTGATTTATATCCTTTTTATTTTCTATAGGAACTTATGGTGGTGTACTTACACATTGTCCTTCAGTTTATTTCCACAACAACCATGAGGTTTTGATTGGGCTACAGGAGAATGATTGGCTCAAAACCATCCAATCCATTCCCATGGTTGAAGACTGGAACTGAACTTGGGTCTACCCGATCCTAGTTTATAATCTTGACAACTACAGTTCTACATGGAAAAAAATTTCCACTGTAGAGCAAGAGATTGCTAACTGATACAAATCTGGTCTACCTTAAAGGATTGACAGGTTAGGGTTTTTTGTGGAATTATTTAAGAATGCAATATCAAGTTCAATATCAGATCAAGGCCATTAGGATTAGCCCCTTGCTCAAGGAGGAAATTCGAATTAAGACATTTGCAGAATTTTCCTAGTATAGATGTCTGTCATTCTTTGGTTCCTCCTTTCTAGTGGTGGGTTTCAAATTTTTTTACTACCAGTTCGGTGGGTGTGGCTTGGTGGGTGTGGCATGGCTTGGTGTGCATGGCAGGGGAAGGATACTGTAAAATCTCCATTCCCACCCCACTCCAGGGGAAGGAAACTGTAAAATCTCCATTCCATCCCCAATCCAGGGGAAGGTTACTGCAATATCCCCATTTCCTCCCGATCAGCTGGGACTTGGGAGGCAGAGAATAGATGGGGGCGGGGCCAGTCAGAATGTTTACTACCGGTTCTCCGAACTACTCAAAATTTCCACTACCGGTTCTCTAGAACTGGTCAGAACCTGCTGAAACCCACCTCTGCTCTTTTCCCTTAGTATGTGAGGAAGCAATTCATCTGGTCCTGGAGATATAAACTCATTGAAAGAAAAAAACTATTCCCTGGTATATATTTTTAATTATTCTCAGTCCTTAATCTTGCTGCTTCATTCTGCTCTTCAGTATTGACCTATAGAACACACTGACACTTTTGGAGAGAATAGAAGGTTCATCTGCACTTCCTGCTTACTCTGAGACTAGGATCGCCATTTAGCCATCTCGAGAACAGGAATGTCCAGCCATCTTTATCTCTATCTTTTCTTGCTCTGCATTAAAGTTAGTATTTCAAAGTTGTGCTGGGATGGGAAGCCTTATGCTCTCTTCCTGCAGTTCTTCATTTTATTATAAGCAAATATTTTCACTGCAGGTTGGATACGGTGCACTACAGCAGAATTCCCTTTGCAGGGAAGACAGATAAAAGGTTGGTCTTTTTTCTTTTTTTTTAAAAAAACAAAGAGGTCAGTGGTGAAATCCAATTTTTTTTACTACCGATTCTGTGGGCTTGGCTTGGTGTAGCTTGGTGGGTGTGGCTTGGTGGGCATGGCAGGAGAAGGATACTGTAAAATCCCCATTTCTTCCCCACTCCTGGGGAAAGGATATTGCAAAATCTCCATTCCCACCCCACTCTGGGGCCAGACAGTGGTGGCATTTGCCGGTTCTCCGAACTGCTCAAAATTTCCGCTACTGGTTCTCCAGAACCTGTCAGAACCTGCTGGATTTCACCCCTGAAAGAGGTTCATTAGTGGACCAATGAAACAGTAGTCTCTCCCCCCCCATCATGAATGTTAGAAGAGTTCTGCTACTTTTCCCTTCTAGCCCAAGAAACAGGAAGAAAGGAAAACATATGCTTTCTTTATTTTACTTTCAGTGGTCCACTAATGCACGGGTCCCCAACCCCCAGTCTGTGGACTGGCATCGGTCTGCGGCATGCCAGAAACCAGGCCACGCAAACAAGCAAAGCCCCATCCATGGGATGTAGGCATCACACAAAGCCACATCCCCTCCGGTCCATGGAACCAGTTCCTGGTGCCCAAAAGGTTGGGGCTGCTGCACTAGTGGACATATCAGATGGAAGATGTCAAATATGGATGGGGGTCCTGAAAAAGCTCCTATCGTTTGAAACCACACAGCTTTAAATCTCTTCCATGCAGTGGTGGGATTCAGCCAGTTCTGTCCCATTCAGGCGAACCAGTAGCGCTGACTGAGGTTGGCCCTGCCCATCCGCCTGGATGTAATGCACATGAGCAAAAAGCATTGGCGGAAGGCTGAGCATGTACATGCGCTCACATTTGCAAACCGGTAGGGAAGGTAAGTGAATCCCACCTCTGCTTCCATGGAAAGGAAAGTGAGTGATGTTTGTTTTCCCAGTACAGATGGCAGTAGGGGACTCTCCCAACTGCATAATAACTGGCCAGCATTGTTTCCAAACCTGGACTCAATTTCTTTAATTGTCTTCATTTAAAGATGGGTTTAGCATGGGAGCCCGGTTGCTTAAGATTGTTGTTGAAAGAACCCAGTGACAATAATGTACAGGACCTGAGCAGCTTTGTCCTTTGTACGTGTATCTGTTAACATTCTACCTTTTTAATTGAACAGCTGTTAGACTGATACTTCTTGCATTTTGTACAAAACTGAAGAAACTGTTTTTATGTCCTTAGCGGGTCTTTGCCAACTTCCAACTCATTCTATGCTTTAGCCTTTCTGACACTGTATGTACAAAGACACTGTTATGAATCGTCCTATTGTCCCCCTGAGAAACATTTGCCTCATTTAAAGCAGTAAATGCTCCTTGAGAGGTAATCTAAAGAGTGAGCTGTATCTTTCCACCTGTTCCTGGGAAACTGTTTTGCAGAGAAGCAAAGAGCTAATTGTAGGGCAGACCTGCTAATTTAAGATGCCAGTTGCAAATTTAGAGGTGCTGGTTAGCAACACAAGGTACAATTTAATTGTTACCCATCTTTTGGTAAACTGATTACTGGATGGGGGAATGATCCTACTGGGTGTTATTTGGCACAAAGACATTTTTTTTTTCATGAGACATAGTTTTTTATGGTCTTTCACTCTTGTCTCTTGGAATTAATTTGGAGCACCAAATGTTTATACAGAAGCCTGAAACCCATTATGCATGAACATTGAAAAAACAAAACAAAACCAACAACCCCACACTCTGAAGTGGAAAGAACTCTGGCCGTGTCAATATACTATATTCTAACCAAATGGAGCCGAGATGGCTCCATTTGGAGCCGAGATGGCTAATTCAGTTCATTGCTAGGAGTTTGCTCCTGACTGGCTGAAGGTTGGCTCAGCCTACCATTCTCCTGAGGTTGGTAAAATGAGGACCCAGATTGTTGTGGGCAATAGGCTGACTCTGTAAAGCATCTTAGAGAGGGCTGTAAAGCACTGTGAAGCAGTATATAATGCTCAGCACTATTGCTATTACCCAGAACTAGGAAGAATAGGCTGATTGGCTATGCTAGCTAGGAATTATGGGAGCTGTTGATTAGGAAAACTATTCTTTTCTGCTTCACGTTAACAGTATCAATCAATTAATTTTTCAAAAGCAAAGTGTACGACTCTTTCATGAATAAAGGTGAATATGCGTGTCCCAGGATAAATGTTGCAGAATCCAATCTGGGCTGGTCACTGGGACCAGAGGATTTGTCTTCTGAGTTTTAGGACTCATGCTGAAGCCCATCTTCAGGGAACTTCCCTCTAGCAGAGTGTACTAGAGAGGTTCTGCCAGAGAGAAGTTCCCTGAAGATGGGCTTTAGCACGAGTCCAAAAAGTTCAGAAGTTTTGGTGACTGACCCAAATTGGATCCTGTACAAGTCTTCCTTATTAATGAATCTGAACAAGAGTGTGTACTCCCATATCTATGATGCAATGAGAAGCAAACTTTCTAGAGCATTCTATAAAAGCAGTATCTTTTACATTTTAAAAAAATGGGGAAACAAATTGCTGCAACTAAAATTTCTACTCCTCACCTGTGCATCCAATTCCATAATGTGTGCAACTTTATTCCAACCAAATCCAACAAACCTTCGGTCATATTCTGGACAATCCTGCCTTACCACAACATATGGCTCAAAATCTGCTTCCCATTCAACTCGATATGGTGTGGTGGCTGTTCGCCACTTGGCAAAATTGGTTGGTGCATGCCCTTTTGTCCATACGTGATACCTGGAAAAGATATTGATTGAAAGAATCATTGATGGAAATAAGACTTGGAAACAATCCACAATGAGAGATCTATGAGAGTGCAATTTGGTTCACTTCTCTTCACTTTCACCTCTTGGTCTGTTCACTTGACAAGAAGTTTGATTCACTTCTTGACAACACTGCTGATACAAAAGTCAGAAGAGGTTCCTGCACATGCATAGCACATGAAGAAGGTATCTTGCAACTTTTTCATGGGCCTCAAAGCAGGGCTAACTGAGCAATTTGGCCATGTGGCTTTGGTCTTAGAAAAAGGCACTGTGGTGCCTTCAGGATGCAGCTTTGGGAACCTCAAAAATGACAGATATTCGGTGGGCATTACCACCCAGGCTTCCATTTGAAAAATGATATTTTCTATAATTACAGAAAGCAAAGAAATCATGACTGATGAAGAAACAGTAACTATAGCAGTTCTGGACTGTGACATTTAATTGCCGCAATTCTAAAAAATGGTACTTTGAGAAGATGTTGACATGCAGATAAATGCTTTGTAAATGAGCTCAGCCACCATTCACAGTTATAACGGTGGTTTTTTTTTTTTCCCTTTGTAATTTAGTAGTTTGTTTTCAAGGCATGCAGAATTCTATGGAGGTGTTTCTGTCATCATGGCAGAAATTAAGATCAATACAGGCATTAAATAAAAGCCTAGGCAAATACTATCAATGCCATCAAAACTATTGTTTTGTTGCCATGTGTCATCTACACAATTTCATCTAGACAATCAGTTCAATTTACAGGAAAGGATCTTTTTATAATTTGTTAATTTTACCCATGTCACTGCCAGGCCTATCCATGCACAGCTACTATTCTTCCATTAAGACAACAATCAATACTTTTCTCTTCCATTTATTTATTTAAAGATCAAATTTATATGGCCACCCATCTCTGGGCAATGTACAACAAAGTTATACACAGTAAACATATAATAAACCAGTCATTATTAAAAAAAAAATTTTTAAACAACAAGGCATATGAGAGAGTAGATTGTGCTCGCTGTGTCATTCCAGAATGATATCGACTACTGCCACACTTCTATTGATTAAACCAGGATACCGTTACATCACTGGTTTATATATTAAAGCATATTCCAAGGTTTATGGAAAGCCAATATAGTCAGGCTTGGTATTGTCTGACTGTATTGGGCTTTAATACAATATAGTCTTGGTATTGTATCTAGATTTAATTTAAATATCAAAGACCTCCATGAAAATATTGGAAATATTCAGCTTGCAATTTTGACTTGATTTAACTTTGGAATCCTATTAAGGTCTATGGTTATGGACACAGAAAAAGCACATGTGGGAATAAGAATACAAAGAATCATAGAGCTGGAAGGGACCTTGAAGGTATTCGAATCTAGCCCCCTGCCTTACACCAGTAGGCCCCAAAGTTTTGAGTGCCACAGACTGGTTCTGTGGAGGATGGTTTTTCTGCGGACTGGGTAAGGGTGGTCATGGTTTCGCCGCTGCCTGGATCTGCACATGTGTGGATGGGTCCTTGCTTGGGGCTACAGACCGGTACTGTTCTGAGGCCCGGGGGTTGGGGACCCCTGCCTTATACCATCCCAGACAAATGGACATCCAATCTTTCTTGAAAACTTCCAGTGATGGAGCACCCACAACTCTAGGAGGCAAGCTGGTCCATTGATTGTTTTCATTGTCAGGAAATTTTTCCTTAGTTCCAGGTTGGACCTTTCTTTAATGATCTTCCATTCATTGCTTTTCCTTCCCTCAGGTGCTTTGGAAAATAAGTCACCCCCTCTTCTTTGTGGCTGTCCACCAAGTACTGGAAGACAGCTATCATATCACCCCTAATCTTACTCTTTGATAGGCTAGACATACCTACCTAGTTCCCTTAATTGTTCCTCATTTGGTTTAGTTACTAGTCCCATTATCATCTTTGCTGTTCTTCTCTGCACTCTTTCTAGGCTCTCAGCTTCATTTTTGTACTGTGGTGGCCAGAACTGGATACAATATTCCAAGTGTGACCTCAGTAGTGCGTTATAGAGTGGTACTAACATTTCTCGTAATCTTATTGCTATGCTTCTGTTGGTGCAGCCTTTTTGCCACCTGCAGCAAACTGCTGGTTACACTTAAGTGGTAAGTATGAGCCAGTAATGTTGTCCATTAGGAAACTTAGATCATTCTCATAGTTACTACTGTTGAGCCAGGAATTACCTGTGCATTTGGTTATTCTTGCCTAAGTGCAAGACCTTATTTCTCTCACTACTGAACTGCATCTTTTGGATAGGGCCCAATGCTTCCAAATCATTCAAAAAGGAAATATTTCTGTTCTGTTTAGGATAAAAATCTAATTAAAAATAAATTTCAGGAATAGTTATTGTAATATGCTAATAACTTTTAGTGAAATCAGAGGATAAATGGGATGTCTGTATTTATTCTTTATTTGGGATATTTATTATTTCCTTGGATACAAGAAGAAATGGTAAGAAGAATAGACCTACTGGATAAGGCCAAGGTCTATCTATTTCTGTTTTTTGTTTCTTATAGTGACCAGCAAGTTGTCTCTGAGGTGATAGAGATATGTCCTTCTCCCATTGTTGGCTATAATTGGCTTTTGAAAGTATGCTTACTCCAGCTTGAAGGTAATGTTAATCATAACCTTGATAATACCTGGGTATCTGAAGAGAAAATGAGAATGCATTCCTGCTACAGCCCTACAGAATCCTTGAGAGACCAAAATGTACAAATGTAGTTCTACAATGAATCTGTGAAGACTTCATTAACCTGAAGTCTTAAAATTCTCCTTAGTTCTTGGTTGCTTCTCTCCTTTATTAGTTTCCACCCACTGCTTCTTTTCCTGCCCTCAGGTGCTTTGGAGAATAGCTTGACACCCTCTTCTTTGTGGCAGCCCCTGAGATATTGGAACACTGCTATCATGTCATCCCTAATCCTAGATGATATTTCCTGACAGTTAGACAGTTAGAACAATTAATCAGTGGAACAACTTGCCTCCCGAAGTTGTAAATACTCCAACACTGTGTTGTGGTCTGTCAGCAGCCTGCAGAGCTGGCAGAAGAGTCAGACAGTGAGGGCTGGGGAGGAATATGGACAAGTGCTGGAGTCTGGGCTTGGAGAAGATTGGCCCCTCCCATAAGACTTAAAAGAGGAGCAAAGGCACATGGGCCTTTGCAGGCAACAACCTTGTTAATTCTGTGCAGTTTAAAGTCTGACGCTCTGTTTGATTCTGGACTCTGTGTGGCTTTGCCAATTAGCTCTTTGGCAGCGTGTCAAGGGAGATAAAGGTGGGTGATTATCAGCCTTATCCCGAAGGACTCTTTACAAGTATTTGGGACTCATCTGTGAATGAACAGAATTCACAGCTGTTAAAATAAAACAGGTTTTCGGGACTACTCGTGTGTTTTACTGACTCAGGAAGCCTAGGTCAGAACACACTGGAAGTTTTAAAGAAGAGATTGGACAACCATTTGTCTGAAATGGTATAGGGTTTCCTGCCTAAGAAGGGGGTTGGACTAGAAGACCTCCAAGGTCCCTTCCAACTCTGTTATTCTATTCTTATCAATATATTTCTTGTTTCCTGTTCTAGCAATATATATTTCTATTCTAGCAATATATATTTCTATTCTACCACATTCTTTAGAACAGAGATGCAATTAATAAAGAAAATAAATAGTACGATATATGTGTGTATGTATGTATATAATTATACATGTGTGTCAGTGGTGGTATTCAGCCAGATCTATCCACCCACCTGCCCAGACGACTGTTTTTGATGCTCTGTGTATGTGCAGACGGTCCTGCGCGTGCGCAGAGGCGGTATGTGCGAGCAAAGAAAGCATGCGCATGTGCGCTCTCACATTTGTGAACCGGTAGCGAAGGTAAGTGATTACCGCCCCTGATGTGTGTGTTCATTCCTTAATATTTTCCAGAAGTTCTCTAGAATCATTATAGCAGCATTCATTTTGTTAAGTTTCTTTTTTTCCAGAGTGAACCATAGGGGAGATGATTACAAATAAGTTAAAGAGAAAATTGCTAATTTTGTCTTTGTTTTTGTTTTATTTTGGCTCAACGTAATTGTATTCAAACTTGTTGACATGGACAGGTCATTGGTCAACACACATTAGTGCAATACAGAACATTATCCTTGGACAAGAGACTATATAATGTGACTTTCTTTCTCTAAAATTTCCTGAATAATCAGAGAGCAAGTATTTGTACTGTATTTGGAAGTAAATTTAGAGCAGCAGCAATTAACTTAGTCTGAAACCTTAGTGGAGCAAAGTTTAATTTTTCTCTACAGGCAAGGAAATCTCCAGACCTTTAATATAAAACCCTTGAGACAAATCTACAATGAAGCCATCCATTATTCTCCATTACAAAGCTCTCATAGTCAAAATATCCAGGCTACCACAACATTTGCTGGAACAGAAATAAAAGGAAGACCTATACCATGGAAAACTAATTTATATGTCACATATGCCCAAAGGGAAAAAAGTTAATCATTTTAGAAAACAGGAGACCAAATAAAAATAAAAGAGTTTGGAATGCTACAGGAACGATCAGGAATCATTGTCATACAAGTTTTCCCCTATTAGTTTGGCCTTACAAAGTTACTAACCAGTTACCAGTTTCTAACAACTGATAAAAACCACCTTGAAAACAAAGATAAAAATGGTTGGTTGGTGGATGTGGGCTGTGAGAAGATTGAAACAATCAGATGGACTGAAAAAAGTGTGTGAAGGCTAGCTGTATAGAGAGATACTGATCAGTCAGAACAGGGGTGGGTTCTAAATTTTTTTATTACCAGTTCTGTGGGCGTGGCTTGATGGTCATGTGACAATTATTTAGGATTTAGCAGAGGTACTGGTTTACCAGGCTTTTAACTGCTTGCAGAGCTGTACCAATCTACCCATGTATTTTTGCAGGCACTGATCTACTCATATATTTTTGCAGGCACTGGTCTACTCATGTATTTTTGCAGGCACTAATCTACTCATGTATTTTTTGCAGGCACTGGTCTACCCATTTATTTTTGCAGGCATCGGTCTCTCTATTCATGTATTTTTGCAGGCACTGGTCTACCCATTTATTTTTGCAGGCACCGGTCTACTCCTTTGTTTTCTTTTAACACTGATCAGCTGTAGGGCGGCCCTTTGAAGCCCCGTGGCAAGAGTTTAAACAGTTTTTTCCCTCTAGTCATCAGCTAGAAGGAAGTCTCTTTTGTGATGTCTTGTTCTTTATGCAAAAAACAAAACAAAACAACAACAACAAAAAACCCAGTGTGAAAGTAAATCCCATGCCTGGGGAAAATTTGATTGATGGTGAAGCAGAAAACTGAAATGAACATTTACATGATCTTATTTTCCAGTAGATTTTTCTTTTAACTAGGGATGGAACAGTTGTTTTCTTAATTAATAAATCTTTGCAATTACTTTCACAGATTACAAAATGATACTGGTAGAATTTATTTTAAATTCTATTTAAATTATTTTCTTTCTTTATAAACAAACACATCAACTCTGCTTTCTTCTGGTTCAGCTTGTTTAAACTAGATTGAATGGGCACAATACATCAAGCACTAAGGCCAAGCAATCAGCGCAGGAGGCTCAAATGAATCCTACCCTTTTGAAATGAATATTTCAGAGATCAGTTATGTTAGATCAGGAGTGTTAAACTTGCGGCCCGTGGGCCTGATGCGTCACGTGCTGGCCATGCCCACGCCTGGTTTAGTGAAGGGAAAAAAATTGTGATACGTCATGTCATGCCACCGTGATGATGCGAGTTTGACACCCCTGTGCTAGATAGATCAGATGCAATGTTATCCTAAAACAAGGGACATGTAGTGTTGCAAAGACCTGGCAAGACAGATTGCTATTTTGATAGGATCTCCTGCACCTGGGTTCCAAATATGTTTGTTAGCATAGGACTGGTTGCCAAGAGCAAAAATACAGCTAAAGTTTACTACCTCATTAATATGAATGTGGTGAATTGAATGGATATTTATGAACACGCTAAACTGAAACATGAACACAATGGAGTTGCTGAATCCAGAAATGGGACATTCAGGATTCAGGAGATATTATTTCTACATGGGATTACAATCCTCCTTAAGGATCAGATTTATAGTCTGAGATTCCTCATGGATCCCGTAAAGATTTATATGCTGGTAAACTCAAGAATTACCTTGTAGTAGATAGTTGCTGAACATTGTTCAGAAAGTGTATCTGTCTAAGAATGCAATCTGGCTGCATGATTCTGAAAGATTCCATGTAACATTCATATAATCATATAATCAGTTTGGCTGAGCATTGGTTGTTTTCTGAAGCCGATTCAAGGGTGTTCTTTACAATATATAAAGACTTACAGTACATGACTTTGACCCAAACTGATCATAGGACTACCAATTCCAGAAGGCCACTTTGAATAACAGAATAACAGAGTTGGAAGCAGTCTTCTAGTCCAACTCCCTGCTCAAGCAGAAAAACCTATAGCATTTCAAACAAATGGTTGTTCAATCTTTTCTTAAAAATTTCCAGTATTGGTGCACCCACAACTTCTGGAGGCAAGTAGGGAATAGGGAACCTGTAGTATGTTCATTCCATCATGGGTTAATGATCAATTCTCCTTTTTCCATGATGAGGCCTAGGTTTTGAAACACATTTTTTAAAAAAGGTAAAGAGTCCTTGCAGATATTACATTGCTAGTCATTGCCGACTATAGGGCGTGGTGCTCATTTTTGTTTCAAGGCCATTGAGCCAGTGCTGTTCAAAGATATTTCTGCGGTCATGTGGCCAGCATCAAATCATGGAGCACTGTTACCTTTCCACCAAATTGATACCTATTAATCCACTCACATTTGCATGCTTTCGAACAGCTAGATTGGCAGGACCTCACCCTCCGGATGAGGATGGGACCTCACCAGTGGTGGGATTCAAAATTTTTTACTACCGGTTCTATGGGCGTGACTTGGTGGGCGTGGCTTGGTGGGCGTGGCAGGGGAAGGATACTGTAAAATCTCCATTCCCACCCCACTCCTGTGGAAACTTACTGCAAATCCCCATTCCCTCCCCACTCCACTAAATTGCTTTCCAGCTCCGTTCTTTGTGCAGGGCAACAAAAGAAGACTCAGCGGATTAGCTGGGACTCGGGAGGTAGCGAATAGATGGGGGCAGGGCCAGCCAGAGGTGGTACTTGTTGGTTCTCCGAACTACCCAAAATTTCCACTACCGGTTCTCCAGAACTGGTCAGAACCTGCTGAATACCACCTCTGGACCTCACCCCCATTGCATGGCACTCAAGTCTTAAACTTGGGCTGCTGGGTTTTTTTGGGTGGTGGTGGTGGTGTGTGTTTTCAGTGTTTTTTTTTTTTGAAACACATTGCTTTGTTATAAATTGAAACTTGTTCCTTGTTTATGAGGAACCAAAAACATACTTACTGAAGCCTTGTAATATTAAATATGTTATTGTTCAAAGATAATCATTTTAGTTCTCACTGTTCTATAACTCATTTAAAATGATGTTTTTATAATTGGTTTTTACTGTATTTTTTTTTTGTAAGTCACTTTGATCCATTAAGAGAGAGGATGACATCACAAACACACAATTCATAACCACTAACGTCCCTTGGGAAGGGGGAGCAGATGGAGGATTTTCAGAAGGTGTAAACCAATTTCCCACCAGGTTCCACAGCAATCTTATCTCAGAGATTTTTTTACTGAATTTACTGCTTAGAGTCCTAATGGGAATAATATAATATCTACCTGGCAACCACTCTCCATCTACCTGGCAACCACTGTTCATTTCTGGCAACCATCCTCCATTTCTTAAAAGGACAGCAAAACTGCCTGTTTTCCTGTCTTTTTAAGAAATGGAGCTTTGATTGGTGTCTGTCTGTTTTCTCTCCTATTGGAACCCAAGCAGAATAACAAAGAATCAATAGCCTTTCAAAAAAAAAAAATCTTTCTTAAGGTTTATTGTCTAAAATTCTCCAATCTTAATCTTTTCAAATTAAACCTCCAGATAACCGCCTAAATCTCAAGGAAACATTGTAAATGGATGGCTCATTTTAAGTAATAACAGGGAGCATGAGAACATGTTTCTAACCAAAGTTTAGAATGTTTTAAATGTACACTACTGTGTGCCCTCTTTTATACCCAACTGCTTAAAATAGAGAGAGAGGGAACAAATCATTTGAATGAATTAAACAAAATACATGCAATACCTGAATGTGAAGAGTGTTCCCATGTCCAACATAGATAACAGTTCTGCCTTTGACTTTGGAAAAGAGAGGCGATAGCGAAGAGTTTCAAAAGCAGGTACAATTAGAGCTTTTCTTGTATTGGCTAAGTCAAGTTGGCCAACAGATTTCCTAGAAAAGAAACAGCAAATAAAATCAACTGAATGTTAAATTAGCTTTCTAGTAGCAATGCAATTGAATTATATTATTTTCCATAGAGAATGTTATATTTGGTTACCATTTAAATTTTCATTTACATTCAGAGCCATCTTGTATGCATTAATAATTGCATTAACAGGAAGCACAATTGGCAAATACTTTTAGTTAGAGCTACCAAAGAAATTTCTACTTTTCCTCATAAGAAAAAAAAAACCCCTTAGATTCTGTTCCGCAGTAAATAACATTCACAAAGCGCTGCTCCAAGTGTGAAAAATAAGATTTTTATTTTTTCTGTTTGAATTTTTAAAAGCTCATCATTCATATGTTTATTTCCCCAATCTATATTCAGATGTGTTTGCCTATAAGAATTATCAGCCACTCTTTGGCAATGCTGGAGATGAATTACAGAATTGTGGTCAAATCTATCTGAAGTTCTCAAGCAGCAATGTGAAAATGGAATAAAATTCACTTTCACATCTCTTGGGGTTTCTTTTTCTGAATAAACTTTAAACTTTTGATTTTTCTATTAGCTTCCAATGACTAGTTTCCTCTCAAGTATCTTTCTGTGGGTGTTTTATAAATGAGGTAACTCTCTGCAAACTTTTCTGAAAATTATTTGAAGTGTCTGCATCACATTTCTTTTTCACTGTGTAAAGGTTACTGTATTTTGTCAGCTTCCTATTATAAGTTTTGGATACTTTCTCTCTGTTTCCTTTTTGTCTCTCCCCTTCCATCAATTCTAATTGACCCAGGGCACTGCTTCTAAATAAAAAAATCTTTTATAATCCACCTCCTCCAGCTGCCAAGATTATTCAGTGTTCGTGACACTCTTAACAATTCCACCCCCAGGTTTAAGAGGTGCCTTCTTCTGTTGATTCGGCGCAGAACTTGGTGTGACCGACAAGATAGTAAAGCAAGGAGGAGGAATACCGAAGTAATTTGTGTCTCATTAAGTGTGCTTGGGCTCAGCCAATTAATGTGCCTTCATAGTAATCTCATGGACAGACCATCATTTCACATTTTTCAGCTGTCATAATAGACTTCCAGGATTTTATTTTGCTCACTGGAAGTAGGAGTCAAAATAAGATCCAACACAGTTGGAAGAATGATCATTACAAGATGAGGGCCATAGTTTGGTGGTAGAGCAAATGAGTTAATGCAGAAAATACTTGATTTTATCTAGTTAGGGGTTGAAAAATGCTCACAATGGAATTGTTGTACAAATTGTCAACTCTATAGAGAAGCCTTTGTTAATTTATGGCTCAGGAGTCAGAGGGTCCCCCAGGAACCTCTCACGGGTCCCAGAAATCAAAATTATTTGTCAGTTAATGTTGAAAAGTAATACAATATTAAAATCCCATCAAATAATTGTGGGAGTGATAGTGACAGCAAATGTGTCAATTTTAAATACTGATATTTATAATCAAACAAAAGCCCTTTTGGAGTCCTTCATAATTTTTTAAAGTAGAAATGGGTCTTGAGAGGAAAAAATAAAATAAGAAACACTGCTTGTATATGACCCTGACTTAGGCAGACCAATAGTAGGAAAGGGTTTTAGAGAAAAAATATTTAAACATTGCCATAACAATATTGGGCTAGGTGGACCAATAGTCTGACTCCATATTGACACAGTTCCCTATATTCCTTATAATGTTACACTTCTGTTCTCTAGGGCAACAGATACTCATAAACCTAAGTGGAATTCTTACTGATCCAATTGGCATATTGGAGTGATTAAGGTTAAATGTTAACAGTATAGACCTGTGTTTCTCAACCTTGACAACTTTAAGTTGTGTGGATTTCAACACCCAGTTTTCCAGGAAAACATAAGTGTTGCCTCACTAGAATGACTAATGACTCTAGTGATTAGACCCATTTTTGAAAACAAAAGTTGTATCATGAATATGTGTGTGTGTGTATGTTGACTGCCACTCCTTCAATTGTAGAATGTCTTTCAAGAAAGACCTGCCCTCTTATGCTTTTTAAAATAGAGATGCAGGGGTCACCAACCTTTCGGACCTCAGGGACCACTAAATTCATAATTTTAAATCCCGCGGACCACTAATATGAATTTTTTAAAAAGATAAATAGTATTTAGTGCAATTTAGTTCAAAATAAAAAATGCAAATAATTTTTCTGCGGACCACCAACATTTTCTCATGCACCACCAGTGGTCCACTGTGGTCGGTGACCACTGTCCTATAGGATATTTGTCCATACTTACCTACATACTTATCACCACACCATTTAACTTATGGATAAGGATAATTATGCAAAGCATAGAAAATACAGAGGAAATAAGGAAGGAACAAAAGACAAGTTACAAAAATAGGAAAGGAAATTTCCAGTTTGCATCAACACCATTCACTCTACTGCCCATATCAGTTTATCCCTGAAAGCCATCTTTGCTTTCACCAAAACCATATGCTGCTTCATAATTGCCTTTTGCTTTTTAAACTATTTGTTTCTCTCTTTTTGAGCATCTCATCAACTCCATCCAACCACAACTGAGTCTTCTGTCTCATCTTGATCTACTCAGCTTTCCTTCACATATTGGTTTTGTGATTTGATTTTCACTCTTTCTATATGATCAAACAAGTCCAATATATATTCAATAGCCCATTATATTCCATCTACATGCTTTCAGAATGTATTTATTCTTGACCTTACTTCTTTTACACACTTAAGTACCAATGCATTCAAATTACTTTGTTTTTCTTGACACATCCACCTCTCATTTTTAAATAACAAGGTGGGCAGAAACACACTCTTATAATTAGTTATTTTTGCTTCTCTTGAGGGATATTTATTCTCTGCTGTACAAAGGATCACATACTACCCACAACCCTTCTATCAATATCTCAGTGTCTTAAAATATCTCTATTCTTTTTCCCATTTCCAATAAACCATCCACTAATGTACACAAATCCATCTACCTGTTTTAGCTTTTCACCATTTATGTAATGGCTTACAATAATTCATTCAATTTTCCCTGTTAAATGCAATTATGTTGGTTTTCAGTATATTAGTTTTCAGAACCATAATCCTCATTGCATCATTATTCACTTCACCACAGCCATTTCTTATACCTTTATACATAAATATATTAAAGAGTCAAATACCAAGCATCGTTTTTTTACTCTGCTCATTTTTATTTATTTAAAGTCCCAGACCATTGCTGAAACATTCACTAAGAATTACATTTATACTGATACCTAACCTTACACATACCTAACCTTCATCATAAGCTTCTCTTATTGCAATCAACCAACTTTTAAGACCATGGGATGAGGAACAGACACATACTGGGCTGCAGTATTTGCATTATCTCCTAGTGCAGTAAATTATACTGCTAGGAAAACAGCTGTAAAGCAACTGTTTGAAAATATATTTTCAAATCTATATGATTCAACCCAAGTGATAATGAGGCAAAATATCCATAAAGTATTTTATGTCATGATATGCAAGGAGTGGATATGAATTTTTACTGATTTCAAATTTGTTAATTTATTAACAACATTTTTAGACCTGTCTTTATAAATGCACCATCAACATGGGGACAGAGTGTCTTAAGATTGTTTTTCTTTTGATAAAATACTATATTGAAACATTAGAAGATGATTATAATTGACTATGGTTTTAACAGAAATAAAGCAACTTCATAACTCAGTTTGAATCTGGCTTATTTTGTGAAGCATAACTAGGACAAACCATATGTGACTAGTTAAACCTGGATGCAAAACCTGCTAACTTTCTCCTTTTGGCAGAACTGAATGAGGAGGGAAAAGGATCTAAGACAGTGATGGCTAACCTTTTCTGGACTGAGTGCCCAAAGCATGCATACGTGCGAATGCGTGCACACGTGCCTGAACTACCAAAATGCAATGAGCGCATGCCCCTGCATGCCCCCACATGCGTGTGTGCCCCCCCACATGTGCCCCATCCCCATGCATGTGTACACGCACCCTGCACGTGCCCTGCCCCTTGCCCCCTGCCCCTGTGCATGCCCCCCCCCTCATGTATGTGCTGCAGAGGCCCGAAGACCAGCTGGCCAGTGGGAGGCATGCACGCATGTGTGGTGGAGCTGAACTGGGGCAATGACTCGCATACCCACAGAGAGGACCCTGTGTGCCACCTCTGGCATAGGTTTGCCATCATGGATCTATGACTTATTCATCTCATAGTAAACAATTTACTATTTAACATAGCATTTGAATGCAGCATTATCTAAATGAGCATTATAGGAGCCTTGGTGGCGCAGCGGACTAAAGTGCTGTTAAAGTAGCACTTAACTGCCAGCTGCCTGCAATTACTGCGAGTTCAAATCTCATCAGGCTCAAGGTTGACTCAGCCTTCCATCCTTCCGAGATAGGTAAAATGAGGATCCGGATTGTGGGGGCAATAAGCTGACTTTGTATAAAAAAGAACACTGCTTGGAGGGGGGGCAAAAGCCCTACTAAAGCAGATATATACAAAAGTATGAAGGCTATTGCTTAATGCATTGTAAGCCGCCCTGAGTCTCCGGAGAAGGGTGGCATATAAATCGAATCAATCAATCAATCAATCAATGGTTTCTCAAATAACTATAATCTTTTTTACCTAGGATACCTCTAAGGGTACCTCAGAGGTCAGAGAAATATAATTTCTTAAGATTAAATTTCTTAGGAATTTAATCAAAGGACAACAGCCATATCCATCAGAAAAAAGCAAACTTGTAAAACTGAATAGGTTATAACTGGCCAACACATATTTTTCAAACTTTGGGTCCTAGAGTGGTTTTGCAGATTTTGACAGCCCTAATGTAATTTATATTCAGTACTGAGCAAGATAAAGTAATTCAGCAGACTGTAACAAAAATTTATATTTAGCATTATCTATAGTAGAATAATGAAGGACATATTTTAAGAATGCATGCTACGATTATCTGTTGATACCTCAACAGATAATCAAATAGTTTGACAGCATGTAAGCACAAAAAAAAAAAAAAAAAAGAGGTAATAGTTTATTTGTTGCATTTCTACACTGTTCTTCTTACCTAAGTGACTCTGGACAATTCAGAATAAAAAGTGGATAGGAAAATAATCTCCTTGCAAAATAAGAATTCATAAAAATCAAAGCTCTTTGACCACAAGATGTCCCTCTTGCTCTACACACAGGAAGAAGGTAATAAAATCATGAGCCAGAGGACCATGAGAGCAGAGAAAAAGATGGAAGCCCATGAAAAACAACATTCACATTTACCACTTATACAATACACACCGATGTCATTTCCTCCCTTCATCTCCAAAGTTGAGTACAATAATTATTCTGTCTTGACAAGATTTTGTCTTTCAATCATTTATCTACCTTGTTTGATCACAGTTCTGCTTCCAAGGTATAGTGATGGGTTAACAATATGTCAAAGAGATAACAACTTCAATAACATTTTCACAGTCACTCTGTTGAAATCATCCTGGAAGCACAGATATTGGAGATGGGAGTGACCTATAAGTCATCTGGCCCTCTGCCATGCCGAAACAGAATGTGACTGTACATTTATTGAAGTTTTTAACCAATTCAGTGCTAAGGTGACTTAAAAATGGAGCTGTTCTCCGCTTCTTTGGGAATACATTTTGTAATACAAGTGTCACTATGTTGATTCTCTCCAGATATGCTCAACTTCAGCTCACATTTCTCCAGGTAGCATAGCCATGCTGATTGAGAATTATGGAAGTTGGGAATTCAACACATCTGGAATGATCACACTGGAAAGCTGTTCTAGTCTCCCCCCCCCCTCTCTCTCTCTCTCTCTCTCACTCACACACACACACACACACACACACACACACACACACACACACACACGATATAGTGATATATTTATTTTATATCTCTACATCTCTATATCTCATCTCAGTGGAACAACTTGCCTCCCGAAGTTGTAAATGTTCCAACAGTGGAAGTTTTAAAGAAGATATTGGATAACCATTTGTCTGAAGTGGTGTAGGGTTTCCTGCCTAAGCAGGGGGTTGGACTAGAAGACCTCCAAGGTCCCTTCCAACTTTGTTGTTCTGTTCTGTTCTGTTCTGTTCTGTTCTGTTCTGTTCTGTTCTATTCTCTCTATCTAGTAAAAGACTGCATGCATTTTTGAGATACCTTGCTATCAGGAGATGATTAGAAAATCAGGATGTCAACATTCCAGATATAGTCACTTACAGATTCCTTTCATTTTGAGAAAATTGGCAAGATATCCACTAAGATAGAACAGGTTTCGAAAAATAACATATATTTTATACCACTTCACAGTGCTTTTCAGCCCTCTTTAAGTAGTTTAAAGAGACAGCATATTTCCCCCAACAATCTGGGTCCTCATTTTACCAACCTCAGAAGGATGGAAGATTGAGTCAACCTTGAGCCAGTCAGGATTGAACTCTTGGCATTGGGCAGGGTTTGACTGCAATACTGCATTATAACTACTGCACTGCCAATTTTAAGAAAGATGTGTTTTCAGCATCATGCAATCATAGCAGCTACCTGCTTTTCATTAAAACAGTTCAATTTTTTTCAGTTTCCACACGTCTCAAATACTGCTACTATAAGAGCTACGTTAACTTTAATGACCCTCTTCTTACTCATTTATCAAGATTTGCACCTCCTGAGGGTAAGCAGTGTCTTACGAGATTCTCAGGCATGATGTTTCTACCTAAAATAGCCTGGCAAAAATCTGCAGCCTTAGGCCCACATGCAGGCTTTGGCCTAATTTAGATCTCTGTCCTTGAAGGTTATTGGAATCAGAAAAAAAGAGGGAGGAAAATATAAGAATGGAGAAAGATGCAACATCAAAAAAATTATAAGGCTCTTGGATAGATAAAGTTAGTAGAAATAAGACATTTTTGGAACTGTTCTTCAATTTTTTTCTTGAGCCATAATAACCATTATCCCGCAGCCTCTATTACATTAACTCCCTCTCCCCAAAGTCTCTTGCACAAAATTGTCCATCCTGCTATTACATTAAACTGTCTCTTTCTTTGTCTCTTACACTTCTCTAGGCAAACATAACATATACATTAAAAAAAAATGTCTGTATCTTCTGACTGTTTCTTGCTTCCCCAGTCCAAGTTATGTTACTCCTATATACCTAGCCCAACTGATATAGACAGCTTGTCTCTATCAAAACTGTGCTTAAGGACTGAAAATTGTACATGTTACTATCGCCACTTTTTCGTTTAGGAGTTTTAAGTTGTTCTACCCAGCATTTCCTCCTCCTATTTTTCCTGAAGCAATGTGTGAAGTAGGTAGGCTTGGATAGAGTGATTGGCCCAAAGTCCTCCAGGAGTTTCCATGGATGAGGGTCGACTAAACCCTGGATCTTCCCACTGCTGATCCTAATCACTATACCACCCTGGTCACGTTGTTTGTGGAAGGAAACAACAATTTGGGGGATGGGGGGGTGTTACCTGAGGTACTCGTAGAGTCCATACATAGGCAAGAAGTCAATATCAGACAGAAACATGTATGGAGTGCTGATATGTTTCATAGCCACATTTCGCAGGAGATTCACAGGGTAGAATTGTCCCTCTTTATACACAATGTGATATCCAACATTATGGCGGCTCATGAGGACCTCAGAACCTTGAGCATAGCGCAGAAATTGTTGGGCCTCTGCATCAGAAAGATAGAGTGCCAGACTGATCGGCCCTTCCCAGTGCTTACAAATGGCTTCAAGCATCTGCAGTCTAGGAGGAGAGAAAGAAAGAAAAGTTCAGAAAAAGGCATCTTCATTAGTTTGGTTGACCTAGGCAAGCCTTTCTGTCTTGGTGTTGATTTTCAAAAATCATACATTTTTCTTGGCACTATATAGGAAGAATTTCCTGCTCCCCTGTTTTTTGACTCCTCACCCTGAAATTCCCAGCTAGTCTCCTATCTAAGGACCAACCAGGATCAACCCTGTTTCATCCAAATGTTTTTTTTGTGCACCTCCACAGAGATTCACTCAAGAAAACAAAAGGAAGAAATCCTTAGCTAAACATGGCCTATGTTAAAACACTAGGGAATCAAAGCCTAAGAAAGAACTACTGTAGTACAATGTCTATTCTCTCTAGAAGGGGAAAAAATAATTAATTTTCAAGGTTTTATGTCTCCAGTGAGAACAGGGAAAGAAACAAATGCAGCAGTTTTATGTAATTGTTGCAGAAGAAAACATGTATTTTTCTAAACAGTGAAAATAGATAAGCCAAGAAGTAGGAAGGGATAAGTAATTACTTCTCTTTTCATTTTATTATGTTCACAAGGAATGCAAAGCAGTGTGGCAAAAAAAAAAAAAAAAGCTTGATAAATTAAAAAGGCAAAAATAGGAGCTCCATCAAACAAATAATAATAGTAATATAAGTCTAGTAGTAAAAAAGGTTGTTTTGTGTTCAGGAAAACAAGGCTTTCTGGTTAAAGATGGTGAATCACAAAAACATACAGAACAAAATATTAATAATGAACACTTCAAACAATTTATTTCCAAGATATGCCATGGGTATTTTAGCAAGCACAATACAGTCTTGCATTAATTAACAGCACTGCAATATAATCCGTGTGCTTCTAGGAACTATTTCCATTCTTAGTAGATTCAATTAAAATACATGATTATGAAGATATAAATGCAAAAAACCATATGACTTTATGTGAAGCTGTTTTTATTCAGAGATGCAATAGTTTTCCTGTCTCTTTTGCTTATTAATGTCAGGGTAGGAAATGTAAGGTCCATCAAAATCCATATAATTTCAGACATCTTGTGAAATAAGCAACCTTGCTCCCAGAATTCACTCATTTTGGGAATGAGGCTGCTTTCAGCCTTGGGCAAAGTAAGAGTATGCCTTTAGTAGAATTGCGGGGAAGTTATTAAAAGCATCTACTTCCTGGTTACATTAAGCGTTAGTGGTGTGCGGGATGTTTTGAATTTAATGTAATTGTTTCAAATGTGAATGGTTTGAATTTGAAATTTCCTTCCTTCCTTCCCCCTTCCCTTCCCTTTCCCCTTCCTTACCATGGTGACTGTAGACAATGTATAGAGATAAAAGTCACTATAAAAATAAAAACCCATGTAAGCCATATCACCAATGTGATTACCTAGTTACCTGGTCCAAATGCATGGTGGAACAGTCAGGTTTTCAGAGCCTTAAGAAAGGATAACCTTAAAGCACTCAGAAGTACTGTAAACCAAAACTAGCCAGAATAATACATGAGCAACTAAACCCAATCCTGAATAGTGATAATCAAATTATAATAATTAGTCCCAAAGCTGGGAATGGAGAGGATTTTCAGCAGCAAAAGCTGTAAAGCAAGCATTTATAGCATCTTGTAGTATCACCAGCCACTGTGGTGAAAATATAAGTCCCATCTTCATTACTGATACCTCAGCAGATCAGTGCTATAAATTATAGGTGTAAAAATGAACTGAATCATTCAGAGGACAACAATCTGTAAAGGATGGATGTCATAAGAGAAAAGGCTCTAAAGAAGACTATTATTATATTTGATGTAGATGTAGAACTAAAAAAGGAAGACAGCTGGAAATGCAGCCTCCCTGACACTTCTGGGAGAAATGGAAAAAAATGGCCAGCATCACAGCTCAGTTTATTGTCAGAGAGAAGAAATGGCTGAGTTGTTTGTTTTTGGGAACTTAGCTGATAAAAAAAGAAAGAAATAACAGGCCTTAATGAATTTCTAGTCTAATATTTCTTTGTAAAAGGATATCTGTGTTAGTCTATGGTGGCAAATAAACAGGAAGAATCTGGAAGCACCTTTTCCGACTAGCAAATACATTCATGAAAGTGCATGCTTCTTAGTACAATTTGTTAGTTGGAAAAGATGCTATTGGACTACTTCTGATTTAGTATTTCCCTGATAGCTATTTTGCAAAACCTGCATAGTCTTCGTAAAGGTAATAAGTAAATGGTGAAGAAAAACTCCAAGCTATTTGTGGTGAATATATCAAGCTATTCTTGTTTGTCTATTTTGCAGATTTTTCTGCTTATCAGTGGAGTTTCAAATGAAGTTTGAAAAGTAATTAAAAGAGAGAAAAACATTTTCAATTCAGTTTATCAAACCATAATTCCCAAATGCTGTAGAATAGCTAAAGGTTGCATTAAAAAGCAAATGAATAAATTATTAACACAAACCAGGATCTTTTATTAATCCAAAGTGAAAGAAGAGATTTATTTGTATGGCTCTCATTTTTATGACATTTCAGAAACTACCGAAAATCTGATTGTTCTCCCAGGCCTTAGAGTGATTTGGCATCCTGGTTCTAGTCTAACTTAGTTATGTCAGATTTAAGTATGTAGTGGGTTTTTTCCCCAATTGCCCATGTTCTCTTTTTATATGCATTTTCTTTATTTGTAAGCTGCCCAGAAGTGTCAAAGAGTTAGGATCCCTCAAATTTTGATTAAATAAATGAAATTAGAAAAAATAAAATAAAACCCAGAGATGCCATTTGAAAGAAAGATAGAAAAGAAAAGAAACCACATGGATCTCACTGTCATTTTTGTGGAAAATTTATAATCCAGAAACATTCAGGAAAAGATAAAAATAGTCATCATAACAATCACCAATGTCAGTTTCATCTCCAGACATTGTCTTACCAGAGCCAGTTCTGTCCCAAGGTTAAAAAAAACAAAATAGCATTATCCTCTTCTATCTTCCTGGTCTTGCAATACAAGTAGACAGCTCTTTTATGGCCTGGCCTTCTCTTCCAAGCGAATACTTCTTTCAGTTGTTGAATGAGGGGAAAAAAACTTCTCATGACAAGAAAACAGAAGGCTTTTGTCTCTGAGTCTGACAGATTTTTCAGTATGTCTGGAAAATGCTCTCTATTCTGCTTCGTTCCTTTCAATGGGTCTCTTCCATGTTCAGATCTTAATTTAATGTTCGAATCCCTAAGGCTGCGTAACGGGGTGAGCTCCCATTACTTGTTCCAGCTTCTGCCAACCTAGCAGTTCGAAAGCACATAAAAAATGCAAGTAGAAAAATAGGGACCACCTTTGGTGAGAAGGTAACAGCGTTCCATGTGCCTTTGGCGTTTAGTCATGCCTGCCACATGACCACAGAGATGTCTTCAGACAATTCTGGCTCTTCGGCTTTGAAACGGAGATGAGCACCGCCCCCTAGAGTTGGGAACGGTTAGCACATACGTGCAAGGGGAACCTTTACTGTTACCTTTTACCTACAACAGTTTAAAACTTGAATGTTGCTACAAAACTAGGCTCTGCCATAGGCCTGGTATTCAGAGGAAGCAGACGATAAAGTTCTGCAATCGGATTGATCTTAGTCCTCTGTCTCTCTCTGTTGCGTGCCTTGCTAGATCAAACACATTAGCTGCATCAATGATTAGTATTTCAGCTTATCCATGACAATAACACAGAAAATGAGTGCAACTGCTGTGGGAGAAATGTAATTTGAAAAAAGAAAAAGGTTTGAAGATGATTGAAAAAAACAAACAAATAAGAAACCCCACACTGAAACGCATAACAGGAAATAAAATGGCTGAGTAAATTCTTTAGCAGGAATAATATTTGTTGATTTTTCATGAAAGAAAAAATCACTAAGTCTGATAAATAACATACCGATAATGAAAAAGAAGCCTAAAATAGGATAGAAGACATAGGACAGGATAGGGCTAACAGAACGAGTAGTATTTTTTCCTTCTCTGAATAAAGACAAATGCCTCCATCCATCAATACAAATTCTTAACTTGAATCCAAAGTGAATTAAAATCCTGGAGGAAAAACATACATATGCTTGCTGGATTTACTAATTCTCTGTGGCATTCACTCATGTTTGATGTTTTCTTGAAAGACTTACCAAACCACAAAGTAAACACCCCCTCACCCCCCAAAGAAAGGTTTCTTATATTAAAAATCAATGGAACAGGGATTGGTGAAAATTGCAAATGATGTTTAAAAAAGGCTGAGATGAGAGCTAAGCAGTGCCATGGTTTCTATAAATCTGAGGTTGTTTCACCAGAGCTGGATAATTATTTAGTCAAACTTGAATTTCTAGAGATTCCATGTGCAGGAGCATTGACTGTTTGTATAGTCGACTGGAGGAATGGAGGTCTTGTGCATATTACAGGTTACATTCTGCCGGTGCAACTCTGATTCCCCCCCCCCTTTTTAAATGAAAACACATCTCTTCCTTCAAGGGGTGAAATCCAGCAGGTTCTGACAGGTTCTGGAGAACCGGTGGTGGAAATTTCGAGTAGTTTGGAGAAATACCACCTCTGGCTGGTCCCAAAGTGGGGTGGGAATGGAGATTTTGCAATTTCCTTCCCCCAGGAGTGGGGAGGGTATGGGGATTTTGCAGTATCCTTCCCCTGGAGTGGGGTGGGAATGGAGTTTTTGCAATATCCTTCACCCAGGAGTGGGGAGGAAATGAGGATTTTGCAGTATCCCTCCTTGGAGTGAGGTGAGAATGGAGATTTTGCAATATCCTTCCCCTGCCATGCCCACCAAGCCACACCACGCCTGCCAAGCCACGCCCACAGAACCGGTAGTAAAAAAAAAATGGATTTCACCACTGCTTCCTTCCCTATACAAATTACAGTATCCCAAGAAAGACAAGTTGCAGGAAATGAGATGGAAGGATTCTGTTGGTTTCTGATATGTTGGATGTACCTTTTATTGCTTGGGTATAATTGGCAGGCATGTTAGAATAACGTGGTATAGAAATAAATTGGGTTTATTCAGCTAATTTATCAGGAAAAAAAATGAAAAGAAAGGGCAATTGGATCTTTCCTCAACAAAATACTTGTCTGCATTGAAAGGAAGTATCAGGTACAAATGTGGCGATGCTTTTCAGTGCTGTAAAACAATTTATGCTAAAGATGAGCCTTCAACTCTGGCTTCTTGGTTGCCACTTTTCCATATACAGAATACCAACAACAGTAACTCCCCTTCCTGCTTGCCTCTGGAATGCCTTTGAAATCTGCAACTCATTACAAGGTAAGGAGATGACCTGGTAAATAGGGGAAGATCTTGCGTCTTCCAAAAAAGACCCTAGAGGTGGTGCCTTCTCCAAGCCAGTTGGCCTTGAGATAAGGATTAGTGTGTCCCATACAAAGGTGTTGCCTTTGACAGATCTGTATTTCTTATATGCGTACCAAGGTCAGTGGTAACTGTAGGTCAAAAAACTAATTTAGAAAAAAAATAATCAATACAACTCGAATAAGGGAACTATGATGCAGAAACAAATAAGAGAATTAATGAAAATATCTTCTTGAGTCACCATTCAATATTACTTGGTTATTCCTTTTTCTAAGTAATTCCATATATCTAACCTAACTACAAACAAAATCAATCAATCCATTCCGAACACATAATTCTCTCAAATGTACATCAAAGAAATTTCTCACTCTAAGCCTGATGTTCCAATTCTTGTTAGTCTAACTGCTAGTACTTCAAAAGAAAAGGAAACAACTGTGGTATTTACAGCCAAAAGGCTTAAAATATCATTTCTTCCGCCAAGAGATTACATATAAAATTTTCTAAAATCACCAACTGGAAGTAATTGCATTTGCATAAATTCTCTATGAGAACATAACATTACAATTCCTTACCTGTCCATGGAGAGCTGGGCCACCAGTGTAACATCAGTGTTATCTGTAGCAAACTCATACTCGTAGTGTAGAAAGTATAGGTGAGTCCGATGGACGGTGAAACGCTCTCGCCGAAACTCATAACATAAGTCATCTTCATCCAGCTCGGATAGTTGTTTCTGTAGCTAATACACAAAAACACAAAAAGCAGCACAGAACTATAAACAAGACAATTTTAATTAGAATCTTTTATGAAGAACAAATACAAAATCAAGTGTCTCATATGATATCATATCTACTTTATATGACCGCCCCTCCCTAACCATAAAGTCAGTTTACAAGCCCTAAATGAAGAGCTACTTCACACATGCTAGCATGGGATTAATAGAGGTCAATTATTTCTGTTTTTCCCTCCCTAAATAGTTGCCAGCCTCTTTTGGCAATGAGGTAACCAGGCAATTCGGATAAGCCCAGCCTGACAGTTTGGATAAACCCAAGCTCAAATCTTCCTGCAGCTGTTTAATTAAATGCCTAAGACAGCAGATGAGTGGGGCCACCGATGGTAATTCCTGACAGCTCATTCTAAATTTTGTGGAGAAATTGATGTGGTCCACCTTGCAGTCCTAAATGAATGTTCTACTTCTCAGTGTAAGTATTACAGCATTCAGATTTTCTTTGTAGACACTAGGGCCACCATGCTGTTTGCCCCAGATACCAAAATATCTTGTGTAGTTCTGGGTGTGAGCCACTCTTGGCAGTTTACCAGATGCCCTACTACCAACCAATCTTACTGATTGCAAAAAGTCTCCTCCATTTGCATGCTATATTTTAAGAGATTCAACTGAAGCCAACCTATGGCCATTTCATTTAAGCTTGATCTAGCAAAGCTCTATTATGGGGATGACTATGACTTCTATGGCATGAAGTAAGGAGGAAAGCTGACTGCAGCAATGGACAGAAAAAGTGGAAGAGAGACAGATAGGCATATTCTCTTAGGCCTCCTCCTCTAATCTCACATAGAAATAGGTATGTCGCAAAGTAAAACATTAGAACAAACATTTGCTTGCAGTTGTCAAAATATTTTGCAGACATCATCTTTATTCAGTTATCTAAACTACAAATTACAGGATGTGTGGTAAAGAAATCATAGCATCACTAAGCATTATTAAAGCAACAAAAAGATTGATCAAATTATTTAATGCGCTAAGAAGGATAGTATAAAATGGCCTCCTTCCTACATATTTTAAAAATGAAACTACCTATTTTAGAACTGCTGGACTTTGTGGGAAGAGAGAGGTGGGTCTCTACAGGAACAGTGCATTGCTGTGACGGAAAAACATTCTCCTTCACAGCAGCATCCAGGAGGAAAGTCCCCTAGGGCTCTTTGCTAAGAGCAGCATTTTATATTTCTTCAGACATTGAGAGGTGTGAAAATAAAAGGGCAAGTACGCCACAAGAATTTAGAAAGCTGTTGCATTCCAGATTGGACTTCTACCCATGCAAGATCTCAGAAAGCATTTTTTACCTTGTTCCCATCCCTCCAAATAGAATGGAACCTGGCATTTCCCTCACACTGTGACTGATGGGCCACCAACAAGACAGGAAATAAAATTGCTTCTGACTCAAGTAACTCGGAGCCTGGATAGCTCAGCAGATTAATGCATTGTAATTTAACTCCAGCTGTCTGCAATTAGTAAGTTTGAATCTTGCCAGGCTCAAGGTTGACTCAGCCTTCCATCCTTTCTAAGGTAGGTAAATTGAGGACTCAGTTTGTGGGGGCAATAAGCTGATTTTTTAAAAATATACAAAAGTATGAAGGCTATTCTTAATGCATTGTAAGCCGTCCTGAGTCTCCGGAGAAGGGCGGCATATAAATCAAATTAAAAAAATAAAAAAATAAAAACAAAAACAAAAAACTCTACTCATGGATTCCAAACCCTTATCCCTGCTTGTTTACTTTCAATTATTTGCCACACTAGCTAGGGATAATGGGAGTTATGATTATGACCATCTAGGGACCACATTACTGTGTTAGGATGTGAAATATACATTCATAGTCAAGTTTACACATACACTTTTTTTTTTCATGTACACATTTACATGGCACCAAAGCAATTCCCTGTCTTGCAGTAGTATCTTAAGCATTCTCTTAGTGGTTCCATCTAATTTTGTTCTCCATTTCAAAAAGCTTTAATTTGATTATCTATACCCCATCTTTTAATTCAAAACTATAAACAACTGGACTGCAACAATATATCACCTTTCATAACTACCCTGGCCTTCAGGGTCATAGACAATTTTTAATATCATCACTTGGTTGGCACTAAGAACCCTTCTCTACACTATTTTAATGCTTCATAACAGCCATTTAAAATAGTGACAGAAGCCAAACTACACCACAATTATATAAGCTACAATATTTTTTTTCTGTTATCCACTGCCAAATGTAGACTTTTCTATCCCACCTCCACTACTAACCCACAAATAAATTTCTGTAAGTTTCACATTATAGGGTCCTGATCTAAATCTCAGCTAAGGCAGGTGTGTCAAACTGGTGGCCTGCAGGCCAGATGCGTCACGCACAGGCCATGCCTACCCCAGCTGTGCGAAGGGGAAAACATCACAATATACCACATGACGGCAATGTGATGCTGCAAGTTAGACACCCATGGTCTAAGGCAACCCCCCCTCAATAAATCCCCATTATTTTTTAAAATACACCTTCCTTAATATACATATATGAAGTCAGGTGGAACTCTTAGTATTATTTTGTAAATTAGAATTTATTAAATTGATCTTCGTAAATTGTTTTTAGTCTTAGCAACTACTCTCCTTTTCTAAATTTATCAAAAGAACTTCTGATGAGATAAATCAAAGTTTCCTTTGATGGCCAATGAATATCTTTGAATGAAAATGAGTCTTCTGGTTTGGCTACGTGTAGTCATGCTATATACTTATATAAGTGGTATCTAATAAATTACATAAATATATTAAAATTAAGATATAAGATACTTATAAACTATTACAATATACATTATGATGCATATTATTACTTAAGATATATAAGTTACATACGTGGTTTGATACTACCCTTCTTAATTCAAATTAACATTTACGTTTATTTTCCAACCATCTATACCACATTTCCCATACCGTGTAGAATTCCGAGTCCTCATTCTCATTTAGCACATGTGTTAACCTGCACATTTCTGCGCATTCTAATATTTTACTGATTATCTGTTCTTCCATTGGGCATCCTTTCTTTTTCCAGTATTTTGCATATGTTAATCTAACGGCTGTGGTGATATGTATGATTAGATATTTCTTTTCCTTCCTATATACCCTTTTTAGTACTCCCAGGAGGTAAATCTCTGGCGCCAGATTGATATTTTCCTCTATTACTTCTTGAATCCATTTTTGTATTATTCTCCAAAATTTCGTTGCTTCAGGACACGTCTACCACATATGGTAGAAGGTACCTTGACAGTGGTCACACTTCCAGCACTTTGGGCTTGCGTTTGGATATATTTTTGCTATCCTGGATGGCGCTAGGTGCCATCTATTCAACATTTTGTACTGGTTCTCCTTGTATGTTACTGCCCTTGTCAATTTGAGGTTATTATTCCAAATTTCTTCCCACTCGTCTAAATTTATGTTGCGACCAAAATTTCCCCCCCAGGCAATCATCTGATCCTTAACTATTTCTCCTTCCCTGTCGTATTCAAGCAAATACGAATATAATTTGGCTAGTAATTTATTCTCTACTCCCATCCATATCTTGTCAAATCCATTGATCCCCAATTCTATACCATATTCCTCCTTATCCTTTTGTATCGTGATTTAATTTAAATCGGCCAAATCTATTTAATTATTTTAATTTTTAATTATTGTTGTGTCTTGTGTTTTTAAATTGGCTGTACACCACCCTGAGTCCTTCGGGAGAAGGGCGGTATAGAAATAAATATTATTATTATTATTATTATTATTATTATTATTATTATTATTATTAATTTGTAGATAGGGCCACCTGTTGATGTGGGTTCCTTGCTCCTTCAAGGCCTCATTCGTTTTGAGATTACCTCTATCATCTAAGATATCCTGATATCTAAACATTTTCTCCATGGCTAGCATATTCGGATAGATCATTGCCTCCATTGTGGAGGTCCATTTCGGAATTTTAGTATAGTGTGTATGCCTAATTTCCTTCTAGGTCCGGATTAATACATCTCTAATTTTGTGCCTATGGAAGTACGTCTCCACCCCTTTTTCTTTGTCCCACAGATAGGCATGCCAGCCTTTCTGCAGGTCGTATCCTTCCAGTGTCAGAATTCTTTTATTTCCTAATGTAGCCCAATCCCTTAACCACACTAAGTTGGCAGCTCTATGGTACATTTCCCACACTGGGAGCCCAAATCCACCCCTGTTCCTTTTTTCCTGCAATGTTCGAAGTGCAATCCTCGGCTTTTTTCCTCCCCAAATAAATTTCCTTGTGGCCTTATTCAAATCTAAGAAGAATTTTTTATCTATATTAACTGGCGTAGTTTGAAATAGATATACCAACTTAGGTAGGATGCTCATCTTTATGGTAGCTATCCTACCTAGCAGTGATACTTGTAGTTTCCCCCATCGTTCCAAATCTTGCTTAATTTTCCCTAATAATGGTATATAATTGTCTTCCTTTAAGGCAGAACACCTTGCCATTATCCAGACTCCTAGATATTTTATCTTTTTAACTATTTGCAAGCCCAAAGTTTCTTCTAATATTCTCTTTTGCCCTTCTGATATATTTTTGGTTAACATTTTGGTTTTGGTTTTATTCAATTTGAATCCAGATAGCTTCCCATAGTCATCCAAGTCTTCCAAGACTTTTTGTCCCGTTACTAACGGTTCCTCCATAATTAATGCTACATCACCAGCAAATGCCTGAATTTTAAATATTTCGCTCCTAATTTTCAATCCTCTTATCTCATTGTTATGTCTAATTCTTCTTAGGAGAACCTCCAAGGCCAATATAAATAAAAGTGGTGACAACGGGCAGCCTTGTCTCACTCCCTTGCTAATCTGGAAGGTTTTTGTCATGTCATGTTTAATAAAATATTTGTTCTTTGCTTATCATATATTGCTATGATTGCTTTCTCAAAGTTTTCACCAAAGTTCATCTCTTTAATTTGCTGAATAATGAATC